TCACCATCATCATCATCATCACCGCCACCACCATCACCATCACCATCATGATCAGGATCATCATCATCATCATCACCATCATCATCATCATCATCATCATCATCATCACCATCATCATCACCATCATCATCATCATCATCATCATCACCACCATCATCATCATCATCATCATCATCATCATCACCATCACCATCATCATCATCATCATCATCATCATCATCATCATCATCATCATCATCATCACCATCACCATCATCATCATCATCATCATCATCATCATCACCATCATCATCATCATCATCATCATCATCACCATCATCATCATCATCATCATCATCATCATCATCATCATCATCATCATCATCATCATCATCATCATCATCATCATCATCATCATCATCATCATCATCATCACCATGAATCATCATCATCATCACCATCATCACCATCATCATCACCATCATCATCATCACCACCACCATCACCTTTCCCCTTGCCACCTCCATCAGACTGGAGTGTCGGAGTGAGAATGCGCGGGTGCTGGTTGACGGCGTTCCCGTGACAGACGGCGTGGATTTGGAGAGCGGAATGCTCATCCAGCTGGGCGACTACCACGTGCTCCGTTTCGTCGACCACCGCCCCTCACGCAGGTGCCTGCATGCACAACACAACAGCGTTGTTTGTATCCACACACACACATATCACAGATAAGTACACATACACACATCTATACACACACGTACACATGCACGTATTGTTCTCTGTTGATGTATCGCCACATGTCATGCTGTTCTCGGCACGTTGTGAACACGCTCACATGACACCACGAACTGACCTCTCCCCTCCAACCCATGAACCCATCATGATCCCCCGTTCCAGTCGCCTTGCATCCCGGAGCACCAGCAGGGCCGCGTCACCCTCTCTTCGCCGCCGTTCCGTCTCTCTGCGCGAAATTGCACACGCGCAGCGGCGGCGGTCGAGTTCAGCGCTCGTGGGCAGTGCGCCATCATCCCCGGCACTGGCACCGCCACACACGCCAAGCAGCCATGCAGGTGTTGTGTGTGTGTGTGTGTATGTGTGTGTGTGCGTGTGTGTGTGTGCGTGTGTGTGCGTGTGTGTGCTGCAACACAATATTCTGCTTATTCTCGAGCTTGAGCGCGCTCACATTCATTCGTGCGCACCAACTGAGCAACTGACCAACCCACCTGCCCCACCCCCCCTCTCTGCCCATCATCACTGTCAGGCCGGGATGTGGAGGAGCTGGTGTGGTCGCACGGTCCGCTTTCGGCGATGGCGCTCGAGTCGCTCGTGTGCTGGCGTCGTGGTATTGATCCCACGAACGAAGAGCAGTGCACAGCGGCAGCACAGCAGCTTAGCAACACGCTCGCGCTGCTGCTGTCTGAAGGGCGACTGGTGCAGGAGCAGGGGCCGGGCGGTGCCTGGCTCATACGCACACAGCAACTGCGATCAACACAAGAAAAACAATCACAACAGCAGCAGCAACCATCACAACAGCAGCACCAGCAGCAGCAGCAGCAGCGCCAAAACAGACAGCAGCAACAGCTGCATCGCAGTACACTGTCCACCCGTGCGTCACAGAGTGTGCCATCACCGCTGGCACGTGCGTGCTCGCTGGAAGACATGCGCTCGCTCGACGGGCAGCGGCTTGTGGCGGAAGCGAAGTTGAAGCGGCGCAGTGGCGGACACACGGGCGACGCAACCCGATTGCACCGTGGTGATGGGGGTGGTCGAGGTGTTGGTAGGATGGCGAAGACTGTGCCATCGTCACCAACGGGTCCCTCGCCGCCACTACCGTCAACAGTACAGATGCACCAACCACCGTCCATGATCGTGCATGGCAGGGCTGTGGATGCACAACCCGGCAGCAGCAGCAGCAGCAGCAGCAGCAGCAGCAGCAGCAGCAGCAGCAGCAGCAGCAGCAGCAGCAACAACAACAAGATCACTAGCAGCGGTTGTGACTGCGTTCGAGTATTGGATGCGAGCCCACTGGCGCCTATGGGTGCAAGGGGTGATGGGACAGGGACAGGCGAACCTGACGAGAACAACGGCAATGACAGTGGTGGCGGTGGTGGCAGTGGCGGTGGTGACAGCAGACACAGAGCAATAGCGACAGTACAGCCTGTGTCACAGTCGAGTGGCGGGCGAGGGTTTGCCAGCACGCAGCAGCGTCGATTACCGCAGCAGCCGCAGCAAGCGCAAACCCAACGGCAGACACCACCGCGACAAGCAGCAACGGGCACGGATGATGGTGGAGGTGGTGGGGGTGGTGGAGGTGATGGAGGTGGAGGTGATGACAATAGGGGCATGGTTCCACGGCAACGGTCCCGACGACAGCTGCCGAAACAGCCATCATCCGACTCTGGTAAATCAAGCGATGCGTCCACACGCGCCGTTACTCCAAACGCAACAGCCGGTGATAGCCACACCAACACCACTGCTGCTGCCCTTCAGCACGCCGGCACGGGAGCTGTGCAGACACGCACAGCTCTTCATCGTGTACACCAACATGTGCAGCAGCAACAACATGTGCAACAGGAACAGGAAGAGGAGCAGCAAGTGGTGGCGGAGGTGCGAGTGGTGCGGCGAAGGGCTGTGACTGTGCTTGGGGAAATGCCATCAGTGACGCAGGCATTACACGGCCACAATCACGATGATGATGACCCAGCATACGAGGCAGCGTGCGCCCTCTCGTGATTGCTGGGGAGCGTTTGCATTTGCGTGTCCATGTGTGTGTGTGTGTGTGTGTGTGTGTGTGTGTGTGTGTGTGTGTGTGTGTGTGTGTGTGTGTGTGTGTGTGTGTGTACAACTGTTTGTGTGTATGTGTGCGTGTGGAATAAGCAATGTTGCATTGTTACAACGTTGATGTGTATGGCCAGCATTCACTTGCATATGCGAATAAATGAACAGCAGTTGCCACATGTCTCACGGTGCACCAAAGCCACAGGCGAGCAAGCAGGCACAGGCAGTCAAGAACACACACGCACACATACACAACACAACACACACACACACACACACAGCAACAGCACACACACAGCAACAACAACAACACACACACACACACACACACAAAACAACACACTCGCTCACTCACAGCGGCAACACCACATCCTCACACAACAACAACACATAGCGCCACTATCTGTGCTCGTCACGTGGGTGTGCGAACGTGTCAAGGAGCGTCGTGTCGCCCGTGTGCAGCGCGTGCATGAGTTGCGCAAGCTCGTGTCCGTCATCCACAACAAAGTCGATGACAGGCTCGTGCTGTGGACTGGCCAACACGCCGCGTACCCGTTCACAGCTCAACGCCTCGCCGTTCGTGAGCAGACACGTGAGGCAGCCAGCGCTGTGCCCGCACACCATGTCATCAATGTGGTCGCCAACGAAGAGGACAGGGTGCTGGCGATGAAAACTGTGCTGCACGACACGAGTGCTTCCGGTCGTCGTTGTCGTCGTTGTTGTGGTGGCTGCGATGGTGTTGGCGGCTGTGGTAGTTGCTGTGGACATGTGCTGGTGCTGTTGTTGCACCTGCACCACATCACCCTCGCCTCGTGTGCCCCGGGATGACAACGCGTGCGTAGCTGCGGGCTCTTCATCATGGACACCGGTTCCTTCACCAGTTGCTTGGAGTTGGTGTTGGAGTTGGTGCCGGGGTTGGGGCTGCTCCTGCTTTTGTTCATAGCTGGGGTCGGTTGTGTTGCCAGCCGTGTCATCGCAGAGCAGCATACCCCAGGTGCGGAGGGTGGCGTGTGCCGGGTCTGGGTGTGGCTTGTTTTGCAGCGCTTGGGCCGTGGCGGGGCAGGTTGCGTCCCTGGCAAGCCACGGGTCGAAGAGCGACGCATGGTGTGTCAGGCCTTCCTGTTCGAGGACGACGCGGAAGCGCTCGAGCGCGCTCTCCGTATTGCGGGTGCAGATGGCACCGCGCAGCTGCAGGTCGCGCATGGTGCTGAAGACGGCGTCAAACCCTGTGTTGAGCTGCATGCGGTCCAGGCCGGCCTCCTCTTCCTCCAGCACAATGTCCAGGGCCTTGGTGCGGGCTTCCTCGCTCTCCAACGTGTTCACGTACTTGAGGATGGACGTGTACGAGCTCGGCACGCCTATCCGCGCCCGCATCCGTGCAAAGTCGATGGCATGGGGCCGCGTCAGCGTTCCTGTAATTGCATGCACGTATGTGTGTGTGGGGGGGGGGGAGGTTGAATTGTCTTTGTGAGAAAGCATAGCAGGAGAAGTAGACACAGACACAGACACACACACATGCAAAGACAGACAGACATAGACAGACAGACAGACACAGACACATACACACACACACACATACACACCCACATCCACACACACACACACACACACACACACACACACACACACACACACACACACACACACACACACACATACACATGCACACACACATGCACACATGCACATGCACACGTAAACACAAGCCTCCCTCTGGCTTACCATCAAGGTCGAAGATGACCCCGAGCAGTGCACGTGCTCGTCGTGTCGTCGTCGCCATCGCGCGTGTGTGCTGCTGCGTTGTGTTGTGCTGCTGTTCACTCTGTTGTTGTTGTTGCGTCCACGTCGCTCGTCGCTCGTCATTGATGAGTCATCATCACCCATACGTGTGCTGTTGTGGGTGTTGTCCTCCCTCCAAACCACGACCAGCAACGACCCACACTACACGCGCACACGCTCACTGCTCCACCTGTCGCCCCCCTCCCCTCCTCCTCCACTGCGTCGTGGTGCACACTTGGTGGACTGCACCAGTTACCGTCCGCACTGCCTGGTGTTGACAACTGGAACAGTAGCAAGATGCCTGCAGGAGCACGGATCGGCTCCCTGTGGGAGCAGACGAAAGTGCTCTTCAAGAAGAACGTGCTTGTCAAGCGCCGCAACCGTCGCCAGACCATGTTCGAGGTACGCAGTGGGCTGTGTGCGCGTGTGCGTGTGCGTTTTGAAGAGATGAACTACACTTCTGTTGCGTCTGCGCATCTGTTGCAGGTCTTGCTACTGTTGTGTGCCCTCGTCTCATACTTATCGCCGCTTCTGCGCAGATGTTTTTCCCAGTGTACATGACTGCCATCGTCTGTCTGATCAACCTGGCAGCAGAGGTACGTGATCACCTTGTGTGTTGCTAGGCGTACAAGATTGTGTGTGTGTGTGTGCGTGCGTGTGTGCGTGTGTGTGCGTGTGTGTGCGTGCGTGTTGTGATTGGCGTCAGCCCTTTCGTGTTCGCCTCAGTGGCCTGGCACCTGCCTGGCGTCGTCCCTCACACGTGCACACACACACACACACACACACACACACACACACACACACACACACACACACACACACACACACACACACACACACATGGCAGAAATCCAACTTTCCGGCAGAGACCGTGCACATGCCAGAACCGCTTGCGCCCGATATGCTGACAATCACACCCGGGGGCGTGTTTGGATACATTGCCCACACGCAGAGCCAACACACCATCGTCAACAAGACACTTGAGCTGCTGGCAGACTCCGCACCGTGGCTGGCCCCGCAGCCACGCGCATTTGCTTCAGAGAATGATCTGGTTGAGTGGTACAACCACAACCAAGACAGCTTGTGGGCTGCGGTGGTGTTCCCTGACACTGAGCCCGGCAACACCTTCAACTACACCATCCGCATGCAGTCCACCTCCTCTGCCATCGACTCTGGTGTGGCCAGCGTGCCGCACTCGGACAAGCTCTACACGGGCCTCGGCGACTGTCGCAACAACTCCGACTGCTCCGCTGGTTCGTGTGTGTGTGTGTGTGTGTGTGTGTGTGTGTGTGTGTGTGTGTGTGTGTGTGTGTGTGTGTGTGTGTGTGTGTGCGCGCGTGTGCGCATGCGCGTATGTGTGTGTATGTGCGTATGTGTGCGCATGTGCATCAATTTTGTCCCGGTGTCTCCATCTCCATCACGTACTCATCAACACCCCAACACCCCCCTCCCCAACAACCAACAACGCAACAATGCAACAACGCAACAACCAACGACAGACCTGTACCGGCAGTCTGGGTTTCTTCTTCTGCAGCACAGTCTGCAACATGCGTACCACGTCCTCAATGGCGGCGATCCGTCAATTGTTCCGCGCGTCGATGTCGCAATGATGCCCCTGCCCGCATTCTCGGTGCGAATGAAATGTCGGATGTGATGTGTTGTGGTGTGATGTGATGTGTGTGCAAGTGTGTGCAAGTGTGTGCGTGTTTGTGTTTGTGTTTGCACGTATACGCGCGCGCGTGAATGTGTGCATGTGAAATGCGGGATCGCTCACCCTCACGACAACGTCTGGCATGCTCACGTCGACCCTTCCATGCCCCATTGCACCGTCCATAGGAGGACGCAAACGCCGGTATCCGCGTGTCTGCCGTGATCCTGACCATCATGGCATTCAGCCCCATCATCCAATACCTCATGATCAACGTTGTCTCCGAAAAGGGTGCGCCGTAGTGTTGCTTGATGGCTGTTGGTGTTCTGTTGATGTGGTGTCGTGTGGTGGTTTATTGTGCATTGTGTGCACTTGTTTGTGACCACCCCTGTCGGCTCTCACATAGCACACACACACACACAAACACACACACACACACATACATGTATCGCCAACGTACAGAGAAAGGCATCAAGGATGCATTTTACCTGATGGGCATGAAGCCGTTGGCATATTGGATGTCGTGGCTGCTGACATACATGCTGGTGCTCATCGTGCCCTGTCTCCTCGTCACCGCCATCAACGTGCTCGTGGGCGTGCTGCAGAACAGCAACTTCATCGCAGTGTTCATTGTGCTGTATGCGTACAGTCTCTCCGTCACCACCCTCGCGTTTGTCTTCACGCCATTCTTCTCAAAGAGCAAGGTGCCGGCACTGGTTTTGCATTGTGGCGTGGGATGACGCAAGTGTGTGTGTGTGTGTGTGTGTGTGTGTGTGAGAGAGAGAGAGAGAGAGAGAGAGAGAGAGAGAGAGTGTGTGTGTGTGTGTGTGTGTGTGAGTGTGTGTGTGTGTGTCGTGGTTGAGACCTGCAAAAGCTCTTGTGCTGTACCATGTGCACAGCTTTCTCACTCCTGAAAACACACACATACACACACACACACATACACACACACACACACATACACACATACACACACACACGCAAATCACATGCAACCCCCCTCCCCAATCTTTACTATTCAGGTGGCTGGCGTCGCCGGCTCGCTGTCCAACACGCTCATCTCGCTGGTCATCTTCGGTCTCAAGAACAAGGCTGTCTCCGCTGCCACCAAGTACGGCGTGTCGCTCGTGTCGCCGTGTGCCGCTGCTGTTGCGCTGGAGCAGATGCTGACGCTGGATGAAGAGGGCGGATTCAATTTCAACTCGTTTACACGCGGCCAATACTCCGTCTTCAGCGCCGTCATCATGTGAGGAAAGGAGGGGGGGGGGAGGAGCAGGGATTGTGTGTGCATCCGTGCACCCGTTCCAAAACGTGTGTGTGCGTGTGTGCGTGCGCGTGTGTGCGTGTGTGCGTGCGCGTGTGTGTGTGGGTGTGTACAAGAGTGCGCGTGCGTGTGTGCGTGTGTGTGTGCGTGTGTGTATACAAGTGTGCGTGTGGGTTGTGGATTGTGTTTGTCTGTCTGCTTCACCGTCTCTGTGCGTGTGTATCTGCGCATGCTCCATCAACTTCTCGCCTTGCATCTCACCTTGAGGTGCCTCCCGTGCATGCTGTGTTGGTTCGCGTGTTGCGTTGGTCAGGATGCTGATCGACTCGGTCCTCTATCTCGTCCTCGCCTGGTACCTCGATGCCGTCGTGCCAGGTCAGCAGCCGCAGCGGTGATGATGATGATGATGGTGATGGGGGGATCGTGGAGGTGATGGTGATGGTGGGAAGACGATGTCAGTTCATCTGCAGCTCGTGGTGGTTGTGGTTGTTTTGGTAAAGAGACGGCGTGATGGATGCTGCGGTCGTCGTTGTTGATGCGCTACGCTTTCCGTCCATGCATATGCGTGTGAATGGCAGGAAACGGACCAACCAAGTCTCCACTTTTCTTCGTGCACAGCATCAAGTCCATGCTCTGGTGCGTGTGTGCATGTGTGCGTGTGCGTGTGCGCGTGTGTGTGTGTGTGCGCGCGCGCGAATGCGCTTTTGCAAGCGAGTGTGCGCGTTTGGGAACTCACGCCACTGCATGATACCAATTGCAATGGCATCTCCATTGTGTTCATACCATCACCGTCACCAGCGGCACTCCCGCCACCCGCGCTTCTCCCCTGAGCGACGAGCAGCTCGTGCTGGAAGGTGCGGCGTATCTCCTGCACACGCACACAGACAGACAGACACACACACACTCACACAGACACACACAGGCAGACCCCCCCCCCCACACACACACACAGACAGACAGACAGACAGACATACACACACACAGACACACACACACACACACACACAGATAGACAGACAGACACAGACACACACAGACACACACACACGCACATGTCTATCCTCGCTCACATTTCGAACATCACCACCCGTCTTCCTCTTGTCACTTGTCCCGTTTCAGGCGATCGCGAGGATGAGTCTGATGTGATGGCGGACCATGAAGCCGTCATTCGAATCGAAAACATTGGTAAATCATACTCCACAAAAGACAGGTGAGCCGCTGTAACTCGTGCTTGCAGGCACGCAAACCAGCGTCTTGTGTCAATGCTGCACGAGAGCATTCACGTCATCTCACCCTTGACTCATGTTGTCTTGTGCGCGTATTCAGGCCTGCGCTCACGAACGTGTCGCTTCGATTGTACGAAGGGCAAATCTTTGGTCTTCTCGGACACAACGGCGCTGGTGAGGGCAATTTGACGTCTGCTTCTTGCTTGCAAGCACATGCACGCATTGCCAGCTCGTTGTTCGTTTCTGTGCAGAACCAAAGGCCGTCCCGTGTTTCATATGTTTCATTTTGCCTTTCCTGCAGGCAAAACTACACTGCATAGCATCATCACAGGGCTGCGACAGCCATCGCGTGTGAGTAACCGAGATCGTGACTGCTTTGTGTTTGTGTGCGTTTGTGTGTGTGTTTGTTTATGTGTGCGTGATGGGTGGACTCTTTGAGCGTACCTTACAGACACACAGACAGACACACACACACACATACCCACACACACTCGCTCACTCACGTGCATTCACGAACACTCACACACACGTGCATTCACGAACACTCACACACACGTGCATTCACGAACACACGAACACATCAAAATACGATTCAAACCATGCACAGGGTCGTGTGCTCGTGAATGGCCTGGACCTGTGTTCGGACGCCGGGCAGGATGCGATGCGAAACGCAATGGGGGTGTGCCCGCAACACGACGTCCTCTATGAGAAGCTCACCGTAAAGGAACATCTCGAAATGTGCGTGTGAATGCGACATATTGGCGTGGTATGAAAACGAATGCTTTTCACGCAATCGTGTGTTTGTCCTCTTCCTAATTCGCACACACACACACACACACACACATTATTTCCTTCGTTCACCCTGTCCTCCTCCACCAACGCCATCACCATCACCATCATCACCATCATCACCATCATTGACATTGTGGTAGCTTCTCCGGCATCAAGGGTGCAAGCAGGGATGAGGCCACGTTTGCATCGCTGCTGCGCGAGATCGACCTCAGCGACAAAGCAGACACACACACGGACAATCTGAGTGGCGGGCAGAAGAGGAAGCTCTCTGTTGGCATTGCGCTTCTCGGTGAGACTTAGAGAGAGAGAGAGAGAGAGAGAGAAAGAGAGAGAGAGAGAGTGTGTGTGTGTGTGTGTGTGTTGTGGGTGTGTTGTGGGTGGGTGTGTGGAAGGACGCGGGAGGTGAGGGCTGTTCGCGCCTATCGTTGGTTATGGCTGAGTTTTCATGTGATTGATGCACTGTCAGCAACACTTCCACTCACATGTTCACACACACACACTGCGATGACAGGCGACCCGCAAATCTTGTGTTTGGACGAGGTTTGCTTCCGTGCGCATGTGTCTGCGTTTGTATGCATGTGTGTGTCTGCGTTTGTATGCATGATTGTGTGTGTGTGTGTGTGTGTGTGTGTGCATGAGCGTGCGTCCACGTATGCTCAAGCCGTGTGCGCGTGTTGGAGCAACCCTCACCACCCCCGTCCACGTATCCACCCCATGCTCCGTTCTCGTCATCTTGCAGCCATCATCCGGCATGGACCCGTATTCACGACGAAAGCTGTGGGAGCTGCTGCAGAGCAAGCGCGCGGGCCGCGTGACGCTCCTCACGACACATTACATGCAGGAGGCTGACATCCTCGCCGACAGAAAGGCAATCCTCAGTCACGGCCGCGTGCAGTGCGTCGGCTCAAGGTGTGTGTGTGTGTGTGCGTGCGTGTGTGTGTGTGTGTGTGTGTGTGTGTGTGTGTGTGTGTGTGTGTGTGTGTGTGTGTGTGTGTGTGTGTGTGTGTGTGTGTGTGTGTGTGTGTGTGTGTGTGTGTGTGTGTGTGTGTGCTAGTGTGTGTTTTGAAAAGTTTGTCATGGAGTAAGTCGTATGCAGTTTGATGAAAGTGCTGTGAATGTTGCGTCACAACTTCTCCTCATGCAACTTGTCGTCGTCACGTGCGTGTTCACATGTACCTCACGCTATCCTCCCCCCAACACACACACACACACATACACACACACATACACACACACGCTCACTACAGCCTGTTCCTGAAGTCGCGGTATGGCGTGGGGTATCACCTCCACGTGGCAAAGGACGCCAGCTTCGATCACACAGCAGTTACGGAACTGGTGTCCACACACGTGCAGAGTGTCGTCCCAGAGAGTAGCCAGTCCTCCACCACGGAGGTGTCATACGCGCTGCCCCATGCGGAGACGCGGAATTTCGGTCCACTCTTCCAGTCGCTCTCGCAGCAGCGACAGGCGCTCGGGCTGCGTTCGTTTGGCGTGTCCATGACGACGCTTGAGGAAGTGTTTGTTCGCCTGCAGCGCATTGAAGACGAACGCATGGCAGAAGAAGAGCAGTGGAAGGAAGAAGAGGAATCACTCGCCCTCGCACACCACCAGCACCATGAAAGCAGTGCCGGTGGTGGCAGTGGGATTGTAGGCGGGCTGTTGGACAAGGCACGATCCCTGAGCATCAACGCGCCACAGGGCGAGTCGCACACAGACACGCTTCCACTCCACCGCAACACCGCGCACGCGCACACCGGTGGCAGCAACAACAACGAGGATGACGAGGATGACGAGGATGAAGAGGATGATGGCAACAACGGTGTTAACGGCGCTGGATCCGTGCGTGTGCCGCTACTGAGCAGCAGCAACAGCACTAGTGGCTCTTCGCGTCAAGCAGACACGTTCACCAGTGATGGCGACGGTGGTGGTCCCGTGGGCATGTGGTCTGTGGTGCTCGCGTTGATGGTGGTGCGTGCCAAGCAGAGCTTGCGCGAGTGGCGTGCGCTCTTCTTCCAAGTCGTCGTGCCCGCTGTGCTCCTGGTTGTGTCCCTGACTGTCATTGCCAAACCAACCAGCAACACCTCCGAGACGCAGCCGCTGTTTGACCTGTCACCATCGCAGTACTCGGACATGGCCGGCCTCCGCGTTCCCATTGTTGATCCAAGCGGTGCATTTGCGCGGCGCTTGAATGCGTCGAGCGGTTTTGCCGATTCGCACGCGTCCACGCTCGTGCTCCCTGCCAACGTGACACTGCAGGGCGATGATGGCTACCTGACACAGAACATGCGAGGATTCGCCTGTGCATTCGATGCGCTTGGCGGCAGCAACGACACCAACGTCACGCTGTTCTACAACACGACGATGGTGCACAGCCCAGCAGCGTATGTGGCGCAGGTGGGCAACAGCTTCCTCGGCTCCATCGACGTGCAAGTGCAGGCAGCATCACACCCGCTACCGCCGAAACGGCAACTGGAGTGGGACTCCACCATTTTCTACACGGTCCTGCTGATTGGCATTGGCCTGAGCGTTGTGCCCGGCGGGTTTGCCATCAACGCTGTCAAGGATCGCGAGTCGAAGATGCAGCACCTGCTGGAGGTGTCTGGTGTGTCCGGTCTCGCCTACTGGCTGGCAGACATGCTTCGCTCCCTGTCCATCTTCTCCGTGTCGGTGGTGTTTGCCATCATCGTCACTGTTGCCGCGAATGTCGAGCCGCTAACTGGACCAGGCCTGCCACTGCTCATCATCCTGTGCATCGTCTACATGCCGCTCACCATCCTCTTTGCATTCCTCGCCAGCTACCTCTTCTCCAACGCAGAGACGGTACGAGCGATCGTTTATTTGTTTTGCTTTGTTAACATTGTGTTGTGGTGTGTTGTTTTGTGTTGTGTTGTGTTGTGGTGTGGTGTGGTGTGTGGTATGGTGTGGTGTGTTGTGTTGTGTTGTGATGTGTTGTGTTGTGGTGTGTTGTGTGTGTGTGTGTCAAACATGCCATATTTTTGTTTTCTTGCCATGTCTTTCCACCCGCCCTTTCCCGTCCTCTTACATCCTTCCATGACCAACTCAACCTCTCATACACACGTAAACAGTGCCAGTCGGTGTTCCCGCCCCTCAACAACTTCCTTGGCTTCATCCCCTTCATCATCGTCGGAACAGTGGACGGCCTGGGGCAGTCGAATGTTGCCCTCATCCTCCACTACGTGTTCTGCATCGTGCTCCCACCCTACAGTCTCTCTGGTGCCCTGTATTACATGTTCCGTCTGCACACCATCGCCAGCTTCAACCCGGATCACCCGCACGCCACCGCCAAAGGTGCTGGCGACTGTTCCTTGTCGTCGTGGTGGTGGTGGTCGTTATGGTGATGGTGGTGGTGATGGTGGTAGTGGTGATGGTGGTGGTTAAGCTGTTGTTGGGGTGACGTTGTTGGGTGAACCTGTTGTGAAAAATACCTGTTGTTGGTGATGACAGCGGTGCGTGTTGCGCTTTTGTTCGTGTTGTGCTGATGTTTGTGTTGCTTCATGCCCTCTCGTGACCCTCATCCTCACACCTTCTCCTCCCTGCAACGTTCGTGGTTCAGACTACTGGGCGATTGACAACAACGTCTCGCCGACGCTGCTCATCATGGTTGCGTCCATCGTGTTGGAGGTTGCCATGCTTTACGCAATCAACAACAGGCGTCGCCTGAGCAACATGTGTTTCGGGTCTGCCATCTCGGACGTTGCCAGCGACAACGACGCTGCAGGCGCTGAATTGGAGCGTCTTGGCATCAAGGAAGACGACGATGTCGTGCACGAGCGCGAGCGGTGTGTGGCCGCGCGTGTTGCGACAACAGGCGACGCGGACCTGCTGCGTGTCCAGCGGCTGTCAAAGACGTTTGTGTCTGGTGGGGGGCTCTGCTCCTCAGCGCAGCTGTCGTCGTTCGTTGCCGTCCGCAACTCCAGCTTTGGCGTGAACCGGGGCGATGTGTTGGGGCTGCTCGGCCCGAACGGCGCCGGCAAGACAACCACCATCGCCATGATTACAGGTGCGTGATGGTGGTGCTGTGAGGGATTTACGTGCATGCGCGCGTGCGTGTGTGTATGTATGTGTGTATGGGGGAGGGGGATTGTGATTCTTGTATGCTTGCGTGCTTGCATGCTTGCGTGCCTGCGTGCCTGCGTTTATGTTTGACTCACAAACTGCTGCGGTGGTGCTTGCAACGATTGCGTCACAGGCGAAGAGGTCCCATCGTCCGGTGATGTGTTTGTGTGCGGACAAAACCTCCAGACGCAGAAGTGGGCGGCGATGCGGCACATGGGGTGAGAGCTCGCATCAATGGCGAACAATGAACATTTGAGCGCTTGTGACTGCCATCGTGACCCAGTCTGTAGAAGCTTGCTTTGCAGACACAAACACACACACATCGCACACAGACACACAGACACACACACACACATCGCACACAGACACACAGACACGCAGGCACACAGACACACACACACACAGGCACACACACACACAGACACACACACACACACACACACACACACACAAATCGCTTCCTCACGCGCGTGCGCCATGTGCAGTTTCTGTCCCCAGTTTTCGGCGGTTTGGGACAACATCACCACTGAGGAACACCTTCTGTTCTTTGCGAAGCTCAAAGGCAGAAGCGCAGCCCAGGCCGAGGCCCTCAAACGTCAGTTGGGACACCCCCTCTTGTGCTCGCTGTCACTTGGTTGTGCTATTCTGTGTTGTTCGCTTCTTTGTCTTGTGTGTGTGTGTGTGTGTGTGTGTGTGTGTGTCGGTACGACATATGAGCGCGCTGCTGTTGATGGCCACCTCACACGCCAACCGCTGTGCGTGTGCATGCGTGCGTGCGTGCGTGCTTATGGGTTTCATGTGGCAGGGAAGCAGTTGTCGCTGCTGAGCATCGAGGAGCACGAGAAGAAACAGGCAAAACAGCTCTCTGGTGGGACGCAGCGGAAGCTCAGCGTCGCCATCTCCCTCATCAACTCCCCGGACGTGTGCTTACTCGACGAACCGAGCACGGGTGAGTGATTGACGGCAACAACATGTGCACAAGGCACGGCTGGTCCGTGCCGATGATAATAGTGTTGATGTTGCTAGGGGCTGGTGTTGTTGCTGGCGTGGGTGTTGTTGGGTGTTGTTGTTGGGCAATGTGTATTGTCACGCATCATGGCCTCACCCCCTGTCTCCACCAACCCAACACACCACATGACTGCCTGCGTGCCCACAGGCCTCGATCCTCAGTCGCGGCGGGTGCTGTGGAATGTCATCAAACGCCGACTGCGCTCAACAGCCGCTGTTCTCACCACGCACTCCATGGAGGAGGCGGAGGCCCTCTGTAACAAGATCGCCATCATGGTCAAAGGTGCGCACGCACTGCTTCTGTTCGAAACGGGTGGTGTGTGTGTGCGTGCCTGTGTGTGCCTGTGTATAGACAAGTGTGCCTGTGTGTGCCTGTGTATAGACAAGTGTGCCTGTGTGTGCCTGTGTATAGACAAGTGTGCGTGTGTGTGTCTGTGATAGACAAGTGTGCGTGTGACTGTGCATGTGTGTGACTATCAGTGTGGCTTGGCAGCTTCCTCACCTTGCCATCTCTGCTTTGTACACCTCGGCTGTGACATCAGGCCGCCTTGTCTGCTTTGGAAGCCCAACGCATCTCAAAAACACATATGGCTCCGGTTACACACTTGTGCGTTTGCCATTGACGACACTTCGTGCTGCCACACTTGGCATGTCTGCTGTGGTTTATGCGTATGTGTGTGTGTATGCATGTGTGTGTGTGTGTGTGTGTGTGTGTCCAACGCGCGATTGTGATATTTCTCACGTCACTCTTCTTCAACGCCATATGCTGACACCACCCGTTACGGCCACACCAGGAAATCAAAACGCGGGCGGCGGCGACAGAGCGCGTGCATGCGTTTGTGCGTGAGAATCTTCCCAACGCAAAGCAGGAGGAAACGTTCAGTGGCTTTCTCTCGTACCAGCTGGAAATCACAGACACAGACCTTGCTGACGTCAGTGTGTGTGTGTGTGTGTGCGTGTGTTTGTGTTTGTGTGTTACATGTGCGTGTGTGTTACATGCACTCGCGCGTGTGTGATTGAGCTTGTGTATGGTCTTGTTACTGCTGTGTTGTGCGAATGTGTTTGTTCCCCGGGCCAACCTCTCACTGCGTCCGCATATCGCTGCTGTTGTATGCAGGTCTTCACGCTGCTTGAGAAGCACAAGACCGAGCTGAGCATCAGCGAGTATGCGTTGAGCCAGTCCACGCTGGAGCAAGTGTTCCTCCGGTTCGCAAAACTGCAGGACATTGAACCGTGAGCAGACGCCGAGCTGCCACCACAACCGCCACCCACCACCACAATGCGCGTGCCTCTTCCAATCCCCTCTCTACGTCTCATGTTCGTAGATCGTAAGCTTTTGTCTGTTAGAACCGCTCGTCTTTGTCATGCTTCCTTCACACGCACGCACGCACACACACGCACGCACACACACGCACGCACACACACGCACGCGCGCGCGCACACACACACAGCGTTTACACCGCTCATTCGCCCCACATCTTGTCAGCGTTACGTTACGTCACTTTGCCTGCTGTTTACATGCTGTTGTTGTCATTGTCGAATAGAAGAAAGAAACACTGAAATGTACACACAAGCACATGACTCAAAAAGGAGGCCGTTCATTATCATCACACCTGCTCACACACATACACGCACGCGCGCGCGTATCAGTGAGCTGGTTCGTTACAGCAGCTTTCCCGCCACTTTGAGTGTTTTCATCCGTTCTACGAGCTGGCAGAACTCGTCACGCGTCAGAGCAAACGTCCCGTCCTGCCGTCACACCACAACAGTGACATGGGGTAAACGGTAGTGTGAGGGATGCACATGATTGCAAGAGTGTGTCGCGCACAAGACAAGACTTCATTGTTCACAACAACGCGTGCTCCTTCTCCTTATGTACCCGTAACACATGCTTTCAAGCTTTTTCTGACCTCATCAATGATGCCCAGGAGCGGCAGCAGTTTCGCCTGCAAGACATCAACAGAACGGCAGAGCCACCGTGGATGAGGGGAACCGCACCAAGCGTAAGGTCTCATGCTCGTGTTCACACGAAATTTCCGCTCGCAACACCAAGGCACTGTGAGCGACTGCTACATCATCTGCAACTCAGCCCACCACCAACAGTAGAACAGTTACACCCCACCCCACATAACAGCAGCGCACAAGCGCCATTCCACCTCCACTCGCGCACTCACGCGTGGGAATGGGTGCAGTTTTGTCTTGTTGAAGACGTCAAGCATCTGCTTGACAGTGACCTCGCCCGTGTTGTCGTCATCTGCACGCTCGAAGAGAGCGGACGGCTCGGCTTCCATAAAGTCGATGAGGGATTTGCGGAACACAATGCGCTCTTGTCGCAGCCTGTCGCCGGTATCGTTATGGTTGGACAAGAGGGCGCGTGCCAACGAGAAGAAGAGAGCATGCATGAGAGAGGTGATGTGTTTCTGCACGCATGAGAGAAGAAATGAAGAGCGGTACACATACAAAGGCATCGTCATGCACACAACGCGTGAAACTACAACACATGCAAGTACCGTTCTTGCTCAATCTGTTTCTCGGCCTCTAGCTGCTCCCTGCGCTCCTTTTCGCGTTCGCGCGCCAACGCTTGTTCCCTGCAGGCAAACCAAAGGCAGAAGCGCAAAACAAAACGCGTGTGACGACGAGAAAGGCACGCAGAGGCGGTGGCGATGGTGTCATTGGAACGTCAGAAGAGTCATGGACAAGGAGGTTTCGTGTCGAACGATGATTGCGGAAAGATGCATGTTCAGCCGAAAGCTTGGATGTCCGCCCCAGCAAAGAAGTATTGACGGATACAAGCACCAGACCTGATTCTGCGCGCAAGTTCCTCCCGTTCTTTCGCTGCTTGCTCTTCCTTGATGCGCTGTTTCTCGCGCAGTCGCGCCTCGTACTGGCGGCGTGCCTGCAAGCAACAAAATTAGCAAACAAGCGTCACTGTCAGATGTGTTCAAACACAAGAGCATCAACAGAGAGAAAGGGAGAGGGGAGAGAGGGGAGAGAGGGGAGAGAGGGGAGAGAGGGGAGAGAGGGGAGAGAGGGGAGAGAGGGGAGAGAGGGAAGAGAGGGGAGAGAGGGGAGAGAGGGGAGAGAGGGGAGGTGCGCAAACACACACACACACACACACACACGCACACACACACACGCGCGCACACACACACGCACACACACGCACACACACACACGCACACACACGCACACACACACACGCACACACATACACGCACCTCTTCTTGCTCGCGTTTCTGTTGCTGTCGCTCTGCTTCACGCCTTGCTTCTTCCTCTGCCTGTTTGCGCTGAGCAGCCAGCATCTCTTGCTCCCTGCAGAGCGAAGGCAAGAGATGAACACGTGGTGGATGAGGGTTGTGCGCGTTGTCTTGCAAACGCATCTGCATGTGAATTCCACTGTGCATGAGTGGGGCTACAATGTACTGTTATTGCCATCATGAAGCATACCTTGCCGCCTCCATCTTGGCTCTCTCAAGTGCCTCCTGTCATTGTTGACAGTAACAGCGTGTAAGCGTGTTGCAATTGCGATCACTTCGTGATGAGATGGTGACGGCTTCAACCAGGGAGCAACCGGACGGGCGCAATCAAGCAAACATAATACACATGAGACGCATGAGGCTCATGAGATACACACACACATGCGCACGCGCACACACACACACACACATACACGCATGCGCTGACCTGCTTCTGTTTCTCGCGGTACTGCCGTCGCATTTCTGCTTCCTTTGCGCGAAGCTGGCGCACCTGCTCCAGCCTCTCTGCCTCCTCCCTGTCTGCCTTCTCCTGCGCCGCCCTCAGTTGGCGCTGCTCCTCGCGCTCGCGTGCCATCTGTTCCTGGAATGCCTGCCTGCGTGCTCGCTCCTTCTCCGCCGCTGCCGCCTGCTGCTGCTCTATTTCCTGCTTGCGCGCCTGAATCGTGCTCAGCTTCTCCTGTGGACGAAAGGAGCGAGGGGCGTGGAGGGGAGATGGACGTGGTGGGCTCGGTGTTGGTGCAAGCAAAATGCACCGAAGGTCACGTGCGATGCAAGACACACATGGAACGGGAGCGACAGATGAATGCACAATTCACACACACACACACACACACACACACACACACACACACACACACACACACACACACACACACACACACACACACATACACACACATACACACACATGCAGATGGACAGAGGCGAATACACACGCACGCGCGTGTGACAACGGACTTGTTTCAGTTGAGCCTGCGCGGCCTGAAGGGACTGTTGAACTTGCTGCTTCTCGCGTTGGACCTTCTTCTTGATTTGCTCCTGGAGGGAGACACGAGAGGGGGGGGGGCAGAGCAACCAAGTACATGTGACCTGATGTGGTTACACTCAACAACACACAAAGATTGTAACGTTACACTACACAACACAACACAACACAACACAACACAACACGGATGTGCAAGCAAGCATGGAAGCAAGCTCAGCCGTGCACCTGTTCTGAGAGGCGTTTGGTACGCTGCTGCTCCTTCTTCGCCAGAATCTCCCTGAAGCCCATAGCATTGAGAACAGTGCACGTGTGCATTGATGTGAGTTTGCCCGTGCATTTGGAACGTCGCGCCAACAGTTGCATTGGCATCAACGCACACTTCGACCACGCACCGTTTTCTCTCTCGTGCCTTCTCCACCGTTTCCTTCTTCTGTTCGTGGATCACCTGATGTGACAAGGAAGTAATTGGCAGCGTGAGCAATGGTCGTAAAGTCTCCACAGCAGAGCGAACGGTAGTGGTGGTGGTGCAACAAACAACACAGCAAGCGTGTGCACAGCAGCAGGCAAGGTGTTGGAACACGGCTGGACTAAGGTCGACACGTACTACTTCTGCCAGTGCGCGTTCTATCTTCGTTTGCTGGCTGCATTTCCGCACACGCTGCTCACTGTCAAAGTAAACGCAAACACACAGGGTAAACTTTGGCTTGCCTGCAAGCAAAAAGAGAACTGCCGCACAGCGCGCAAGACAAGGCATGCAACACACAGCATTGCCAGCAAAGCAATCGGCCAGCTCAAAGTGACCCCAACAATATGGCAATCAAGCAATCAGCGACCCCAACACACACACATACACACACACACACACACACACACACACACACACACACACACACACACACACGCACACGCACACGCACACACAGACGCACACACACACACACACGCACACGCACACACAGACGCACATACCGGCGCTGTTTGATCTTCTCTTTGAGCTGAACGGATTCGCGACGGCGCTCCTCAACACTCGCTTTTGCCCTGTATTACAACAAGGCAAGAGCAGTGGTGTTGGAAGTTGTGGTGAGTGCCGGGCAGACCCCATGCTACAAGCAACAGCAGGGCAACAGATGGAGACATCGAATCATTTGTTCTCACTTTGTTTGGAAGGTTTCCTCGCGTTCCTTCTGTGCCTGTAGGGCGAGCCGCATCGCCTGCAGTGAAGCGTGCTAGGTGGTGAGCTGTCCAGCTGAGCCAACAAGCGCATGGCACGTAATTGCAGGCATGTCACCCTCTCACCAGTTCCTCGTCCCGGCGTTTCTCAGCAGCACGCTCCTCCGCAAGCTTTGCCTGCAAGCATGACCGTCACGGTAACAGGAGCAACATGAGGGGCGGCATGGTTCATGCTTTTGCGTAGGGTCAGAAGTAACGTAACTAGTACAGACAACAGAACACGCACACACACACATACATACTCACACACACATGTATGAAGAACGAACCTGGGCCTCTCTGGACTTGCGATGGATGTCTTCGAGGGCTGCCCGCTGCTTCTTCAGCCGTTTGATCTCTCGGTGGCGATCCAGCTCTCGTTGCGTCGGGCCGTACTGCACACAGGATGGGGCGTGCAATGCCGCCAACGTGAGATGTTGGGTGTGGACAGAGTGGCAGCAGTTGTGGACAGAGTGGCAGCAGTTGTGGACAGAGTGGCAGCAGTTGTGGACAGAGTGGCAGCAGTTGTGGACAGAGTGGCAGTTGTGCACGCAGACACACGCTGCACACACACACACACACACACACACACACACACACACACACACACACACACACACACACACACACACACACACACACACACACACACACACACACACACACACACACACACACACACACACACACACACACACACACACCATGAGTGCGTCCTGGGTGTAGCGGCGACTGGGCATGCTGAGGATGGCGACCTGTGTGTGCGACGCATTGAGGTGTGGCTCCAGGAAGCTGAGGGGAATCACCTCGCCCCAGCGAAGCGGCATGTCATCGCCATCGCCAAACCCCGTGAGCCCGCTCACGTTCTGCCCGTGTTCGCTCGATAGCAGATGTGTGAGCGCCTTTGTGACGTTGGGGGCAAGGGACGCGTGCAGCGGGACCTTGTAGCTGGGAAACGATGCGTTGTGCAGGTCCTGGCCGATGAGGGCATACCCGCTGCCGTTGGTGTTCCGGTACAAGAGGAAGTTCGTGTCGTCCGCCAGCCCGTGTGGCGTTGTCATGAAGACGACGTCAACACTGAGGTCTTGCAGCCATGCCCCCACCCTCTTGGCCGCGTTGTGCAGCTCCAGTGACCCGTTCCTGTTGTGCACCAGCGACGGATCATACACAAAGTCGCCTGCGTGCGTGGGTGGATTGGAAGTGGTTGAAGGAAGCGGGGGTGTTGAGGAAGAGCGGGAGGGGGGAGGTGGTGGAGTAAGGGCAGAGGAACGCAGGCACAGAGAAGCACACGCAGACACAGAGTAGAAGACACACAGACACAGACAGACAGACAGACAGACAGATACACGCATGCACACTCACACACACAGATACGCTCACACATACACAAACACACACGCACACAGATACGCTCACACATACACACATACACACGCACACATACCATGGGGCAGCACTGCTGCGCCGGCCAAGACAGCCTGGGCCTGGTTGGCATTCAAACAGCAGATGGTCACTGAGACCAGCAGCATGTGCACTCCCACAGATGGTAGCAAGCTCATGGTTTGTTGTTGTTTCGTTTAATGGCGGTGATGACGGTGGAGCGAGATGGCAACACGAGGGGCACGCACACAAGCACACATGTGAGCCAACCACACTTCTTGGTGGCTGGTCTCAAAGGGGCCCATGAAGCAAGCGACGAGGAGAGTCCTCATGTTGGCCATAGAGAAAGGAGGTGCGGTTGCATGTACGGATGGTGTGGCAGTGGAAAGCCGTGCAGACAGTGGCTTCACTACAGGCTTCAGTCCGAAACAAGCGCGGAAAGGAACAAGCAAGCAAGCAAGCAAGCAAGCAAGTCAACACACAACAGCAGGGCCACCACCACGCAGGTGCATGGGGGGTCATGAGAGGGAAAGAGCAAGGGAAGCGATGCACGGGGAGCAAAGATGGATCAAAACGAGGGTTGAGGAGAGGGTGCAATCGCACATGCTGGGAGCAGCGGCTTAGTTTGTTGCGGCACCAAGGCAGCAGCACAGAAGTGAAGCAAGGGCGATGCCTGTGGGAGGGGGGGGGGGAAGCGAGGCCAAGCAACGGTGTGTGTGTGTGTGTGTGTGTGTGTGTGAGTGTGAGTGTGAGTGTGAGTGTGTGTGTGTGTGTGTGTGTGTGTGTGTGTGAGTGTGTGTGTGTGAGTGGGGGAGTTACAGACACAATGGAGGAACGAAGCGAGAAGCAGACACAATGGAGGCACAGAAGCGAGGTGCAAAACGAACACACAACGAGAATAATCGGATGTTCGCGACAACAACATGTGAAACAAGAACATACCGCAGCAGAGATCCTCCTCAGCGCGTGGGTTGCGCTCCACATACACGGTTTCCTGTGCGCGAGGCTGGTACACGACCGTCTCCTGCAATGAATGTCAACAACACAGTGGCAGGAGTGGAAGCAAATAAGAGTATATTTGAGGATTGGCGAAAGAAGCTGCTGCCTGCACAAGCACATGCGCATGTCGCTGGAGAAATGCATCGCGTGCTTACCTCGACGACGTACGGGCCTGGGCGGTGGTGGTGATGGTGGTGGTGTTTGGGGAACACGGGAGTTGGGTGGTGGGCATGGTGGTGGTGGTGCTTATGCCCGTGGTGGTGGTGGTTGTGGCCGCCATGGTGGTGGTGGTGACCGCCGCCGTGGTGCTTGTGTCCACCATGGTGATGATGGCCTCCGTGGCCATGATGATGGTGGTGGCCTCCGTGGCCGTGGTTGTGCATGCGCTGGTAGCCACTCATCTTCGCTCCGTGGTAGTGTTGGGGTGCTGCTGGTGCGTGTGCGTCGTGTGGGGAAATGAGCAGCTGTCGCTTGTTGTGTTTGGAGAGAGAGTGCGCGTGGGAAGACAGGCGAAGGAGCTGATGAGTCATCTCGTCGTGCCGAGGCGACTGAAGTCAGTCTTGGCCAAGGCAGCAGCAACGGACAAACACACTTCGCTGGGTTGTGAGGCCACCCCACTCCACTCCACCATCTCATCGATCCACCCTCGCATGCACACCACTCTACCATCTCATCGATCATGACCACGAAGAGTGACAAGTCCCCCGCGAAACCGGCGGCGCCGGAGCCGTGGAGGGACCACGAAGTGCGATTCGACTCCATCGCAACGTGAGCCACCTGCCGTTCATGCCTGTGTATGTATGTGTGTGTGTGTGTGTGTGTGTGTGGTGTGCTTGTGTGTGTGTGTGTGTGCCCGTGACTTGTGCTTCAGTTGGTTGTGGTGTTGCTCACTCTTGCCACTATGCCCCTGTGTGCCTGTGTGCTTGTGTGCTTGTGTGCTTGTGTGCCTGTGTGCTTGTGTGCCTGTGTGCTTGTGTGCCTGTGTGTTCGTCTTTGACAGCCACATGCAGCCCGGCCCAGGCGAGGTGCGTGCGTGTGCGTGTTTTCGGCTGCGAACTTGCTTGCATATGTGTGTGTGTGATGCTGCGACGCCGTATGCTGTTCTCATGTCACGTCACCATTCTTTCCTGGACAGGTCATCATCGACTCGCTCAGCAATGTCGAGGACACACAGGGCAACAACGGCGTTAGAGGTCAGCCACTGTGCATTGGAACTATGTGTCTGGGCATGTTTGTTGAGGTGCTACGTGTCGCTTTGTGTGCAATGTTCACACGCGTGTGCACGACCTTGCCCTTGCACGCTGTCACAGGGAAGCTGGTGGTGACGAACCTGCGCATCATGTGGCACGCCATCAAGAAGCCGTCCGTCAACCTGTGTACGTTCACGATATGTGTGTGTGTGTGTGTGTGTGTGCGTGTATGTGTGTGTGCGAGTGTGTGCGTGCATGTGTATACGTGTGTATGTACGTGTGTGTATGTGTGTGTATGTGTGTACGTGTGATAACTGACAACTGACACCAGCACATCTTGGGACAACAGCAGCTCACTCACAAGACGCTTTTGTTTGGTGTGCCTGCATCCCCTTGTGATTCTCATCGTATCGCTTCGCCCTCTCTTCCCTCCTCCTTCTCTTCCCTCTTCCCTCCTTTCCTTGTGCAGCGATTGGGCTGTTCTGCATCTCGCAGATCTCCGTGAAGATGGTTGAGTCGAAACTCAAGGGCGGGCGAACACAAGCACTCACACTCGTCTGCAAGTTCAAGAAAATGCGCTTCTCCTTTGTCTTCACGTACCTGGTGCGCAAATCCTCTTGCTGCTGTTGTGTGTGTGTGTGTGTGTGTGTGTGTGTGTGTGTGTGTGTGTGTGTGTGTGTGGTTGTATGTGTGCGTGTGTTGCTGTTGCTGGAGATGGTGACGTACTTATTGTCTTCATTTGCGTTTCATCAGGTGCCATCATCGCCTCGCCTCTTCACCATCATTCAAGCCGTGCACAGGTGAAGTTGTGCCGGTTCAAGTGTGTGTGTGTGTGTGTGTGTGTATGTGTGTTTGTTTGCAAGTGTTTGTTTGCAAGTGTATGCGTGTGAACGTGTTGTTTGTGGTGACAACGTCTGCATTATACTTCAGCCATCAGCTGCCACTTCTGCTTGCGTCTTTGTTGCCATACACGCACACACACGCGCGCGCGCACGCACAATCACCCCTCGCTTCAAAATTTTCAGGGCGTACGACTCGACGCGTCTGTATCGGGAGGTGGTGGTCCGATCCTCCACTCTCGTCAGTGACGACCGCGTCGCTGTCCTTCCAGACGAAGAAATCTTCGACACAGTACGCAATCCATCGCAGTGGCGTTGTTCATGGGTCGTGGCGTTGCTTTGAGTTGTGTGTTCTTTGTCATCGCTTGTTGTCTTGTTTCCTCATCTCTCAATCTTCACTCATGCGTTGCCTGCGTGCACACGCGCTCACATGACAGCTCGACGGCGTGTGGAACCTCTCAGGCGACAAGGTGGGATGCAATGCTGACATGTTTGCGGTGCTTATTGCACGCACACATGCGGAGAGCAACTCGTGCATGTGCTTGTGAAATTGTTCAGAGCACACACACACACATAATCATCATCCTCATCATCATAATCATCATCCTCATCATCATCATCATCATCCTCATCATCATCATCATTGCTGCTTAGGGGGAGCTTGGGACGATGGTGGTGTCCAACATTCGCTGCATCTGGTATTCAGACCTCGATCCACGCTTCAACGTCACCATCCCATATTGCATGATGGTACGATCCTGCGTGTGTGTGTGTCTGTGTCTGTGTGTGTGTGTGTGTGTGTGTGTGTGTGTGTGTGTGTGTGTGTGTGTGTGTGTGTGTGTGTGTGTGTGTGTGTGTGTGTGTGTGTGTGTGTGTGTGTGAACTGAACCCTTTCCCTCATGAGCAGCCCCCTCTCTTGTCTGTCTGTCCATCCCGCTCCACCCCCTCATCCAATGCACCATCACCCGCCACCATCACGTGTCACACGCAGTCCCGCATCGCCATCCGCAACTCCAAGTTTGGCAAAGCGCTTGTGGTCAAGACGGCCAAGGCGGCGCGCTCCCTCACCATTGGATTTCGCATCGACCCCGCAGACAGGGTGGGACAGTTTGCTGCCTTGGGTGGCGATGTGACCTGTGGTTGCCGTGTGTGTGTGTGTGTGTGTGTGTGTGTGTGTGTGTGTGTGTGTATGTGTGTGTGTGTGTGTGTGTGTGTGTGTGTGTGTGTGTGTGTGTGTCGTGTATTCTTCGCTTCATTCCTGTGTCTGATGCCATCACACATACACACGCACACACAACGTGTCCAATGTGCTTCTGCCTCCAGCTGCAACGTGTCGCACAGAAGATGGAGCGACTGCACAGGGTACGATGTAGCAGATGCACCCGTGTGCACGTGCGCATGGGAGAATTAGTCCTGCCACAGTTGTGGCGTGCCAGCGTGTATGTGCGCGTTTTTTTGTGTTGTGTAGGTTGTTTAGGCTGTGGCTTTCCTTTTCTCTTTGGTTCCTTCTGTGTGTGTACATGCACGCATGTGCTCTGTATGCTGACACCTGTGTGCACATGCTTGCATGGGGCCTGCCCGCTGTATCCGCCTTGTGCCACAGGTGTACCACGCTAGCCCCATTTACGGCGTGCACGTGGACGTGGAGACAGCAGAGGTACGCGGCACTGTTGATGTTGCTGTGGGGTTGAGTGTCTTCGTCGAGCGAAGCTTTGCTGTACGCCTGCCACACAGACATGTGCACGGCACACAGATGACGTGTAGATAACACGTAAACGGCACGTGAATGGCACGGGACGTACATGTGCGCTCGTTGGCGTGCACACACACACACACACACACACACACACACACACACACACACACACACACACACACACACACACACACACACACACACACACACACACACACACACACACACACACACACACACGCACGCACACACATGTGCACCACAGGGCGAGGGCGAGGGCGCCGGCGAGATGGAGACGGAGGACGACGATATCGAAATCATTCAGCGCGATGACTTTGACGTCCTGGCCGTACGTTTCACGGCGGCCTGCACTTGCGTGTGTGTGCTGTGTGTATGTGGGTTTGCTGTGTGAATATGTATGTATGTGTGTGTCAGCTACACGGACGTCTCACTCAAGCACACACGCACACACACGCACACGCACACATACACACACACACACGCACACACACACACAAACACACGCACACACACGCGCACACACACACACACACACACTTCCGCGTGCAGGCGTATGCGAATGGGCGGTTGGGTCAAGAGGCAAGCGAGGACAACAAGATGCCCGTGTACAGCGAGGAGCTTGGGTTGGCCATCGAGCCACTGCTTCCAGGTTTCACCTTGGACGCGCTGGCGAACATTGCGTGTTGAAACAATGAGATGTGGTTGCTTCCCTCCCTTTCTTTGATCCCTTGCATGTCCCCCTTGTGTGTGTTTTCTATGCTTTTTATATGCGCAGCCAGTGTTGGGGTGTTTCATGTTGTTACTCGAAATCAATGCACGCGATATCACGGTGTAACGTGCTTTCTTTTGCATCCTACACCAACGTCGTGCACGCACGCGCACGCATACAGAGAGAGATAGACAGATGCAGACACACACACACACACACACACACACACACACACACACACACACACACACACACACACACACACACACACACACACACAAGCACAAGCACACACACACAAGCACAAGCACACAGACACACACACACACACACACAAGTACATACGATGGTTATGGAAGATTTTGCTTAATTTTCGGTGCAACGTGCTCCTGCAGTCAAAGGCGACGATGATGCACGCAACGCGAAGATGTTGCAGGGGCAGCAGCAGCAGCAGCATACACACCTGCAGGAACCCACGCCTACACGGCGGGCACATGGCACAGGCACTGGTGTGGCGTGCGTCTGGGCGTGATGCTGGTCGCAGTGCTCGTACAGAAGCGCGCGCGCTGTCTTCCTCGTTATCAACCTCTTCAGCCACTGCAGCAAGAAGGATACCGACATCACAACCACAACCACCAACACCAGCAGCACACAACAACTGCGCTGACGATATGCAACTAGCGGAGTTGGGAACCGCGTTGGAACGCCGCCAATCACTGTCTCAACCACTGTCACACCATTCGTCCTGGCAGCGGTGTTCGTTGCCGAGGCGGCGGCCGCGCACGCACTTGGCGTCGTTATTGTTCGAATCAGCCTCGCCAGCGCCAACATGCTGTGCGAGGTGCGAGCAACAGCAGCGCAGGAGCATGTCGTCGTCAGCAGCAAGAAGGCTGCTGACTACCTCCTTCCCCACATCACGAGGTTCATTGCAATTATTATTGCCATCAACACAGGTGTCGCTTGCACTGCGTCATCGCCTCTTGCATGCACACACCCCTGCAGCGCATTTCCGAAACTTACACGGCGATACGTGTCCAGTGGATGGCGACGACGGGATGAACCATGATTCCCCCACGGCGCACACACCCCAATCATCCTTTGCACGCGACACGCATCGCCAGCGTCAGAAGCGCGAATCATCAATACGCAACAAGCGACAAGATGCTTTGGCCAGCGCCAGCCGCAACGACGGTCGCAGCAGCAAAAGCAGCAGTCTCAGCAACAACAACAACAACAACAACAACAGCAACAACAACAACAACAACAACAGCAACAACAACAACCACAACAACACCATCAGTGAGAGCCGCAGCGCCTCTAGCAAGAGTGCTGCGCATAACAATGGCGGCAGGAGACACAAACGGGGAAGCAGTAGGAGGCAGAATGGTGGTGGCTTGTTTGAACTTCCGGAACACATTGGCATCGCCATCACCGACGACCTGGAGCACGCGGGCGAGAACAGCCTCTTCACCAAAGCCACGCGCCATCGCTGGCTGCAGGCGGACCCGTTGGTGCTGGCACAGCGCATGCGCTCCTCGCATCCCTTTGCGATGCAGGTGACCAAGCACGTGCAGACAGCCATAACCGAACACGACATCACGCCCGTGGACGCGTGCCACATGATGAACGTGCTGGGCCAGGCTGGTCGCGGTCGCCTCGCCCTCAAGGTGTGGCAGCACATCACCGTCGGTCGCAGCAAGCGCGACATTCACCCCGACCTGTACTGCGTTGCCCTGCGCGCGTGTGCACTAAGCGGGCTCCTGCGGGATGCGGAGGACATTTTCGCATCTGCACTCGCCTTTGTTGACGCCATCAGCGCGCAGCAACACGCGACCACAAGCAGTGACTCGCCCGTGTTTAACACGAGTTGCAACAACGCTGCGTCCTTGTCATCACCGACCTCACTGCTGCGACCGCAGAGCAACGCGTCCGAACACGCCTCAACAGCAGATTCGTGGTGGTCACCCTCCTCACCCTCCTCATCTTCATCACCGCCCCACCACCACCACCACCACCATCAGCAACACCAGCACCCCCATCATCAACAGCAGCAGCAGCACTACGATGAGCAGCCCAGTCATGACGTGACGTCCTTTGCGCCCGTGTTTGCTGCCATGCAGCTCGCCTTTGCCATGCAGGGTAACGTCAAGGAGACATATGGGGTGGTGCGTCTCATGATGGAGAAATACCACCTTCCACCGCATCGCTCGCACCGCCTGCACCTCCTCCTCGCGCACGCGCGTGCAGGGGACGTCGCCGGCGCCCAGGCGTGCTTCCACGATGTTGTTGCGCCCCACGCCAGCCGTGACGACCGTGCACACCGCTATCTGCTTGAGGCGCACGCGCAGTGCGGTGATGTGGAGGGTGCTGAGCATGTGTTCGCCAGCATCGAGGCCGCGTGCGGGTCGTTTGATGCGCGCGCCATCATCTCGCTCGTCAAGGCGTATCGCATTGCAGGCGACGCTGCGGGCGCCCATCGCGCACTGGAGCGAATCATGCGGGAGTACCGGATGAAACCGCCGGTGAAGGCGTTTACTGCCGCCATCCGCGCGCACGCGGACGCGGGGGATGTTGAGGGCGCAACGCACACCATGCGGCTGATGAAGGAGTGCGGGGTTGAGCCCGATGTGTCTGCGTTTGAGTTTCTCATCCACGCCTACCTCAACAGCGGCAACCGCGCTGAGGCAATGCGCGTGTACGAGCGCGTGTTCACACAGGACAGCCCACTGCGGCCAACGCCACTGATACACGAAGCGCTGCTGTCGCACCACATGACCGCGGGCGACGCTGTTGCGGCCGCTGCTGTGCTGCTGCGGTTCCAACTGCACAACCACTCGGCAGCGCGTGTGCTCGGTCGGCGGGAGATGTGGGAGGTGGTGGAGCAAGGGGCAGCCATCATTGCACGTGGCAGTGCTGGTGACGGTGCTGGTGGCGTCGACGATGACGATGACGATGATGGTGGTGATGGTGGTGATGGTGGTGACAGTGGTGGTGGCGATGATGATGGTTGTGATGGTAAACGTCATCGTCAGCGTGGTGTCAGTGAGGATATAGCTGGTGTTGGCGTTGAGATGCGCAGCGCACCAGCGATGAACCGAAATACGAATGCACGTGATGGTGCACCTCGTGGCAGTGATGGCGAGGATGATGATGATGGTGACGACGATGATCCGTTGGTGGTTGCGATGATGCAGCGACAACAGCAACGGATGGCGATGAAGGCGAAGGTGAAGGTTGAGCTGACGGAGGAGGAACGCCACCACGTCATGGCCATGATGCGCAACCACGCGTGGCACACGCAGCGACAAACAACAGCAGCAGGAACAGCAGGAACAGGGGCGACATCGTCGTGAGCAGCACCTGGTGCAGCTGTACATGCAAGCGATGGTGATGACTGCAAAGCAGCGACAACAGCAGCGTCACGGCTGGTGCTGTGAGTGTCAGCAGCTTGTACATACGGCTGAGGGAGGTTAATGATTGGTTGATTGGCCGATGGTTTTCTTTCATTTTTTTCATTTTTTTTGGCTGTTACATTACGAAGTGTACACCAGAGTAGAGATTGTGCGGGTGTGCTGCCTGTCTCGCGTGCTGCTGAAGGCTTTGCTTTCTGCCTCCCATGTTTTGACTTCTTCCGTTTGATTTTGATGCTTCTCTCTCCTCGTTCTGCATAAGCTAGCTCGGCTTGAATTTGTGACGTGTGATATGTGACAACACACACGCGCGTGAGCGTCCTTGGCATGAGTACATGATATGTATTGACTGGCGCAAGGAGCGTCATCGAGACAAATGAGCGTGGTTGAGACCAGGGTCACGAGGATTGTGTGTGTGTGTGTGTGTGTGTGTGTGTGTGTGTGTGTGCATGTGTGTGCATGTGGTATGAACATGGATTGGGCCACAGTGGTGTCATGATGGCGATGCTGTATTGGGTTTGCCAGTGCACACACACACGCACACGCATGTGATGCACACAGTCACAAAAGCGATAACAGCATGAGAGAAAGGAACAGCGTGTCAGGAGAAACCACATGCTACAACGGCAGCAAACGAAAGAGTCCGACATTACTCCTTCAATGGCGCGAGCGCATGCGTGCGTGTACGTGCCGATAACACACACACACACACACAGACACAGACACAGACACAGACACGCACACACACACACACACACACACACACACACGGGACGGACATGCGTGGAGCAAACCAAAGCAGCGAGCACGGAAAAACAAAGGCAACAATAACACAGGGTCAGGCAATGAAGTGAACACGCCAATGTGACGCGGGCCTGAAGCGAAAAAGGTGTACAGTGGTGTACAGCAGAGTGCGGACAAACACAGAGAGGAAACGAAACGGCACAAGGGATGGACAACCAACGCTAGGTGATGTGACAACAAAGTAGCGTTTGAATGAGCTACGCGCGAACATAAAACCCAAACCAAGCCACTGATGATCGATACGACGGCTATGCTGTGCACATCACCAAGCCCTCTCCTTCCACCACGCATTCTCTCTGCTCAGAGGTGGTTCTTGAGCGAGACAATGTCACCCTTGATGAGCTGTTGCGGCGTGGTGATGCCGAACCGTTGCGGGCACCCACTCTGCGCCACGTCCTTGCCCTTGATCTTGCCGTCAACAAGGTACTCCTTCTCGATCAGCGGCTGCGCCCACAGCAGCACCTTGTCCATGGTGGGCGTTTCCACGCCGCAGATCTCCGCAATGCCGCGCAGGACCGCAAGTCCGTGCGGCAGGTCCTCCGTCAAGTATCTAGTCCTGAAGTTAGGGTCGAGTTTGCCGTCGTCGCGCGTGATCATGGGCGCCTTGAGGCCGCGGAAGGCGTCGTTGGTGGCGAAGATGCGGTCGACGGACGAGTGGTCCGAAATGACATCGCCGTACACATCGAGCATGTACACGTCAATGGGCTGCCAGTGCGACAGGTCCGCCCCGTTGGACTTGAGCACCTCAACCGTCGCCTGTGAAACAAAGGGGAGGAGGGGAAAGAGGAAGAAGTGGGTTGGGGTGAAGTTAGGCGGTGGCGACAGTGAGTGGTGGGAAATAGTGGTCGTTGTATTGGTTGAAAGACGTAACGGTTGCTCCCGCGTTCAACAGCATCACATACACACACGCACACGCACACCACCACCACAACGTACGGCGATTTCGTCGCTCATGCCCTTGAGGACGCCGCCTGTGAACTTGTTGCAGTTCTGGTAGAAGAGGGGCGCCTCGTCCAGCGGGTTGCCGTCCCAGTCGTGCCAGATCCCGTACGACACGCCTGCAGTCACGGAGGGGTGTGTGTGTGTGTGTGCGTGTCGAGGTGAGGGGGGGGGGAGTGGTGAGGAGTGGAGGTGGATGGAGTGGGATGATGAGGTGAGGGATGGTGGGTGGTGTAGATAGCAACGGTGGCGCAGCAAGGCAAGGTATTCAAATGGTCTCCGTGCGTGCGTGTTGTTGTTGTTGTTGTTGTTGTTGTTGTTGTTGTTGTTGTTGTTGTTGTTGTTGTTGTTGTTGTTGTTGTTGTTGTTGTTGTTGGTGGTGGTGGTGTTGGCCGGACCAGGGTGGATGACAGCGTTGGTTGGCCAGAGCGTGGTCATGAGGAAGTGGCCGCGGCAGTGGAAGTCCGTGTCGTCGTGCAGACGTGTCAGCGCATCCGCCAGCCACTGGTGGGTAA